TTTTATATTACAGTGACTCTAATGACTGGTTGAGGTTTTTTTTAAACTTTAGAAAACTAGTAAATTGCGAGCCAATCTAAACTGTACAAGATGGTATCCCAGACATGTTTCTCTGCACTAAGCTCATTTTAGCTATCATATTTTCTGACTCATATTTTTTTTGAGAGAGAGAGAGAGAGAACGCACAAGTGTGGGGGAGGGGCGCCAGAGAATCTTAAGCAGGCTTCATGATCAGTGCACAGCCTGACACAGGGCTCGATCTCATAACCCTAAGATCATGACCTGAACTGAAATGAGGTGTCAGATGCTTAACTGACTGAGCCACCTAGGCGTCCCTACTCATACTTTTAATGTGTCCTAACCTCCTCGTAGTTTTCTACTCTTTTATTGTTTGTATTGTTGCCAGACATTTCAAAACTTTTCAGATGAGCCATATAGGAAGGAACTTTTCAGATAAGCCATACAGGAGGGAAGAAAAGGAGTACTGAATCTATAATACATCCAAAGAAAGAATAGTGGGAAAAAAAGGCAAACCGTTAATACTGGGAAATGAGAACCAAAGACTGAAAATTCTAGATGCTAAGCACTTTTAAAATCAAGGTAGTATGTTGGAAGTTTCAATTCCTTTAAATAAATGTGACTATTTTGCCTTCTTTCTCATAAATCTGATAAGTTAACGTGTCTCAGTAGCAGAATATATGAAAACACTTGGGCTTTGCTTGATGAGTTCAAGGGCAATGTATTCCCTTTTGGAAACTGAAAGCTCATTAATACCTTTTCCAACTTAAGAATAAGTTTTCATTTTCCCAAAAGTTTACATTTAAGAGCAAGTGTTTAAAATTTGAAACACATTTTCCCACAGAAATGTTATTACAAACAGTGGTTAATTGCCAGGCCATCTCAGTGAACTCATTAAACTCATAAAAAGCAAAAGTAGACATTGGCAATGAAAATAGTATAAAACTGTATTATGGAAAAAAAAAACCCTTGCCTTTTAAATACAAAAGTTAAATTTCAACATGCAGTTTAAATGTATTCTAATCAGATCCATTACCCACAGTGTTTGAGCCAGGGCCTCACTTTGGGACTCTGCATAAACACTGCAAATGGAGAGGGGTGGAGTGGAAGGTTTTGAATTTGGGTGAGTGGGACATGGAGAGACCCTATGCACAGTCTGGGAAGGTAAGTACGTTGTATTTCCCAGCTTGGGGTGGAGGTGGTTTCTACTCTTGATTTCCGGGAGTACAATGAAGTTGGTACCCCACAGAATGGAAAAGGGATGGAAAGGGGATTTTGGCTTCTCAGAATCCTAGAATCATTAATGTGCTACTATCCAGAGGGTGGGTAATAGGGTATATCTCTAAGCAGCTGGTAAGCATGAATGACCAGCTGGCTAACTCTTTAAGCAGGTGGGTTCTGAGTACCATAGGTGGGCAGCAACAGGCAGTAGATCCGGGACCCTCTTGCAGTGTGCTTCCTGGCAGAGAAAGAAACAAAGTGGATTCACATAGGGGACCTGTGGAAATGCTGACAGTGCAAAAAAGACATAAATTTCCAACAGGGAAGATCAGAAGAGGAAACAAAGGTATAAGAGGTGTTTCTTGCGTCATTGCCAGCCAACATGTTAGACTCAACTGGGCTCACATTTGATGTATTTCAGGTTTGCCTGTCCTGGTTTGGGGAGGCATTTTACAAATAATCCTGCTTCTAAACACTACATATTTGTTAAATTAAAATAAGTAAGAAAATATTATACCATAAAAAGAACCATAAAAGCTTTTCAAAAACATACTTAAATATTTTTAAAATCATATATTTTCAGGTTTTTTTTAAAAACTATACTTATTTACGGGGTGCCTGGGTGGCTCAGTCATTAAGCGTCTGCCTTCGGCTCAGGTCATGATCCCAGGGTCCTGGGATGGAGTCCTGCATCGGGCTCCCTACTCTGCGGGAAGCCTGTTCTCCCTCTCCCACTCCCCCTGCTTGTGTTCCCCCTCTTGCTGTCTCTTTCTGTCAAAAAAATACATAAAATCTTAAAAAAGAACTATACTTATTTATCATGAATCATGGACATCAACAAAAGAAATTTTTTAACCTGCTCTTCCACCCTCTCTCTAGACACGCTCTCCACTAGTAGCTTAGAAGCTGGTAGGCATCCTTCCATACACTTGTAATTTTCCATTAAGTATTCAAATACATATGAATGCATCTTTACATCATTTTATGAGACATAAAAATATGTAATGATAATATCTCAAAGGCAAATCGGAGTAGGTATATGATATGTTATAGCATAGACAGGCCAAATTTATTCAACCATTCATTTATTGACAGGTATTCACTCATTTATTTTGTGTTTTTGCCACTGGAAATGCTGCAATAAAAATCTTCATTCATATATCTTGTGCTATTCAAATTTATGCTCACTTGTATTATGACCAACACTCCAAATAGCTCACCAGCTCACCACAAGAAAAGTTTGCTTCTAGTTTGCACCACTGTCTGATGCAAGTCAGGTTATTATTTCAAGGCGTCTGCCTCCAATAGTGATTCAGGGATCCATCTTACGCTTTTGTTCTCAGAGAACTTCATTTCCGGTAGCAAGGATGTGAGAGAGCTTGGAAGATGAGAAGGATGTTAACTAAAATTTTTAATTTGCGTGTATTTGATACACAATATTACATTAGTTTCAGGTGTACAACATAGTGATTTGACAAGTCTCTATGCTATGACAAACTCACAAGTATAGCTATCATCTGTCACCATACAATAGCATTGACTTTATTCCCTGTTCTGTGCCTTTTATTCCTGTGACTTATTCATTCTGTAGCTGGAAGTCTGTATCTTCCATGCCCTTTCACCCATTTTGCCCATTCCTCAACACCCCTCCCCTCTGGCAACCATCAGATTTTCCCCTGTATTGACAGGTCTGATTCTGCTGTTTGTTTATTCATTTGTTTTTTAGATTCCACATGTGAGTGAAATCATATATTTGTTTTAGTCTGACTTATTTCATTTAGCATAATATCCTCTAGGCCAATCCACATTGTCACAAATGGCACAATCTCCTTTTTTATGACTGCATGATATTCGTGTGTGTGTGTGTGTGTGTGTGTGTACACACATCTTTTATCCATTTGTCTACTGATAGGCCCTTGGGTTGCTTCCATATCTTGATTATTGTAAATAATGTTGCAATAAACATAGGGGTACATATGTTTTCAAATGTTTTCATTTTCTTTGGGTAAATACCCAGGAGTGATATTATTGGACCATGTACTGTTCTATTTTAAATTTGGGGGGGAATTTCCGTACTGTTTTCCACAGTGGCCTTCCTAATCTGCAGTCCCACCAACCGTGTATGAGGCTGCCTTTTTCTCCACACCTTTGTCACTTGTTATTTCTTTCGAGTTTAGCCATTCTGACAGGTGTAAGGTGATACCTCATTGTGATTTTGATTTACATTTCCCTGATGACTAGTGATTTTGAGCATTTTCTCGTATGTCTATTGGCCGGAAGATGAGAGGGATTTATGACGAAAACTGGATGTGGCTTTGGACGCTTCTGCCCTGATTCCACTGGCTACAACCCAATCATGAGGTCTTTACGTAACTGCAAGGGAGGCTGGAAAATGCAGTCTTCCTGTGGGCCCAGACAGAGGAAATGGATGACATTCAACCAATTTTGCCAAATATCTTTACGTACTGGTAACTTTATTTCAAAGGATTTATTTCCAGACTAACATTTCTGGACTATGAAATTTCTATATTGTGTGTCATCACTTTGCGTAAGGACCATAAGAACTCCTATTTCTGTCAGCAGAGTAAGAATACTCAGCACCATTCTTGCTTTTCGAAATCTCTCTAAGTGCTAGAAGACTAGAAACTGAACTGACCAGATTCTGTCACCAGGGTCCTGGTTTAACTTCCACCAATAAGAGGCGTTCTTGCTGTGAAATTAGGAAGGGCAAAGAAAGCAAGGAGACTTTATTTCATTACACACGTTGACACATGACAGAAATGGCACGAACTGTGGTTTCCAGGTATGTCCTGCATCGTGCAGAGATTATTGGCTGTGGTTTTCCCTGACCCTGCACCACTGGATTTTAAAAGCCAGCAGTAATTTCTATTGACTTTTTCCTTCAGTCTGGTAGGTTAGTGAGCATCTCACTTCTTGTATAAAATCTCTTCCTACTTGAAATATTTAAAGCAATTTTTTTCCAGACCGAGAACTAACTTATACATCCACCTAGCCTTTGTCTTTTGTCTTGTTTTTAATGGCCCGGGTTTTTTTTCCACATATAATTTTTTAATTCTCGAATTTCAAGTGTATCTATGTTGTATGTTATAGCTTTGGAACTGCTGTCTGCCTAAGCCTTAGTGAACATAAATATTCTGTAAAACTTTTTACAGAATACTTTTTAAAATTTTTATATTTTAAAGGCATTAATCCATCTGGAATTTACTTTTGCATATGTTGTGAGTGCTAGTATAATTTATTAAATAAATCACATTTTCCCACCCAACTAAAATACCATCCATGCCCCAAATGGCTGGATCTATTTCTAGGCCACCTAGTCTATTCCATTGAGCTATTTGTTTATTCCTAAGCAATGCCATACAGTGTCCTTTGCTTGGCTTTATAAAATAGTTTAATAATTGTTTTATAAATTTAAATTCAATGGAAATCATCTAACAATAATTTGTGCTACCAAGTTAACTCAGTTATATATAGAACTCAAAATAAATCTTACTGTTCTATATCCGTGCATGTATCTGAACTTCCTATAAATGTTAATAACAGAAACAACTAAGTGCTTAGTTAATATAAGGCAGCAATGATCAGTCCTAACCTGATCCAAATGCTTGAGGAGTAGGCTCAGTCTTCTCACTGATTGCTGTTATGATAAATGAGATTAGAAAATTGAATTTGTAATGTTATTGTAATCAAATGCTACTTTTAAAATTTATATAGTTTATATAAAGGACTCCATAAAAGATTTTGTTTATAAAATGGGTACAATTATAAGTTTTAAAATTATTGGTCTAATACATAAACTTGTATTGCCTTCAGTATCAATCATTCATTTGATTTTTATTGAGATATAGTTTACATAACACAGAGTTCACCCTTTAGAGTGTTCTATTCAGCAGCTTTTAGTATATTCACAAAGTTTTGCATTGATCACCACTATCTAATTCTTGTTTGTCTGATTTTTTATTAAAAAATGGAAAAACAAAAAAACAATTTTCATTCAATAAATATCATTTGATCCTTAATACAGTTTTGTTACAGAAAGTGAAGTCCATGATTTTAGAATGATGGTAGTAATTTATCAACCAAGTAATCAGTTTTCACACAGTTTCAATAACTGCAGCAATTTCCTTGAACTGTCTGTAGAAATTCTGGAGAGAAAAAGGAAAAATAATATTAACTTAGCTTTTAGAGGATATGTAAGTAGTTCTTTTACTTATACCTGACCACTAAAGGCCATATGACATATTAAATTTGCTCAAGTTTATATCACTATTATTATGGGAAAGTTATAAAAAAACAAACAGGTGCAATTTTTGGTACCACAAGCACAAATACCATTGTAGAGTTGGATAATTAGCTCATAATTAAACATTTTAAAAGCACAAAAGAAAGTTCTTTTATTAAATACCCAACACTGTACTAGACAATGAAGGTAAAAACAAAAATGACAGTTTGGGGGAGGGGGGCGCCTGGCTGGTTTAGTTGGTAGAGCGTGCTTTTTTTTTTTTTTTTTAAAGATCTTATTTATTTGGGGCGCCTGGGTGGCTCAGTCGTTAAGCATCTGCCTTGGCTCAGGTCATGATCCCGGGGTCCTGGGATGGAGCCCTCCATCGGGCTCCCTGCTCAGCGGGAAGCCTGCTTCTCCCTCTCCCACGCCCCCTGCTTATATTCCCTCTCTCGCTGTGTCTCGTCTCTCTCTGTCAAATAAATAAATAAAATCTTTAAAAATATAAAAATAAAAAGTTCAGTTTCCAGGCTTCAAACCACTTTAAATCTAGTGAAAGACTGTTTTTCAGGGTGATAGGAGCTGTCTTCTTTAAGATTTGGGTTTAGTTACAATAAGAAAGACCCAACACTGAAAATGGCTTATATGGTAGAAACGTATTTCCCTTTCATTTAAAAATTAAGCTGGTATGGTTGTTCTCCTATAAAAGTCATCTTTTTTTTTCCATCTCCCAAAATCTCTTAAGAAAGGAAGCAAACAAATTCTGTTTTCGTTTCTTCTCTACCTGCCAGGAAGCTAGGAGGCAAATTTGAAACTTAACCCCAGCAATTAGAATCCTCTCTAATGATTTACATATTTGCATTTTCCTTCTTATGTGGTCTTCTCTATTTTGCTACTTAAGAGTATATATATTTCATTTTAGTTTATATGTAAATTCATTATGAATGAAGCTATATACTGAAAGTCAAAATTTCAGCTACAAGAAACATATAAATTAAAAGCTCAGGGTGCCTGGGTGGCTTAGTCGTTGAGCGTCTGCCTTCGGCTCAGGTCATGATCCCAGGGTCCTGGGATCGAGCCTCACATCTGGGCTCCCTGCTCGACAGGAGGCCTGCTTCTCCCTCTCCCACTCCCCCTGCTTGTGTTCCCTCTCTCACTGTCTCTTTGTCAAATAAATAAAATCTTTAAAAAAAATAAAAATAAAAGCTCAAAAAATGTTGCTATGCTCTCAGTCCTGCATTGTAACTAAAAGGCTCTGTTCCTGGTTAAAAGACATGTAAAAACAATCTTTAAAAGATTTGTCCCATTTGTAATTATTTTCCTATAGGAAAAAAAATTCTTAGAGGTGGAATCAGAGAGCATGAATGCTATACAGAAAAATAAGACCTGGGCCAAGATTGTGAATATAATTCACAATATAAAGGAATGAAATCTGTATTTTTTGACTTGGTCCTTATATTCAGTTGAAGGCTACTCACATATCATAATATACGATATTTCCTTTTAGCCAAGACTTAATTCTTTCCAGGACGCTAATTAGCATTAATAATGTTGAATCTGTGACCATGGGTTTTTGTTCGAAAGCAGTGGTATCTATTTTAAAAGAAAGAAATCAAATGGAACAAAAACCCTTAAAATGTAATTTGTAAAAGAGAACTACCATACGATCCAGCAATCCCACTTCTGGGTATATATCCAAAGAAAATAAAATCACTACCTCAAGAGGTATCTATACTCCATGTTCTTTGCAGCATTACTCACAGTAGCTAAGGTATGGAAAGAACATAACTGTGTATTGACAGATGGATGCATTAAAAAATGTGGTGTGTGTGTATACATATATACACACAATAGAATACTATTCATCCTTACAAAGAAAGAAATCTGATATTTTTGACAACATGAATGAACTAGGAGGATATTATGCTAAATGAAATAAGCCAGACACAGAGAGATAAAATGTGGAACTTATAGTAACAAAAGAGTAGACAGGCAGGTTACCTGAAGGTTACCAGGGCTGGGGAGTAAGAGAAATGAGGAGATGTTGGTCAAAGGCACAAACTTTCAGTTTTAAAATGTGTAAGTTATGGAGACCTAATGTATAGTATGGTGACTATAGTTAATAATCATGTATTGTGTACTTGAAATTTGCTAAGAGTAGATCTCAAGTGTTCTTACCACACAGATACATAAAAAAGGTAGCCATATAAGGTAGTGGATATGTTAATTAACTTGATTGTGGTAATCATTTCTCAATCTCAATCGTTTCTCAATCAAAACATCACATCATATACCTGAAATACATACACTTTTTATTTGTCAACTATACCTCCTCAATAATGCTAGGGGAAGAGTGTAGTCTGTAAAAGAAAAAATCAAAAGTATCTTAAAGAGGTATATAAGAGGCTTTTCTTAAAAGGTAAGCCTAGGACCAACAGATTTTTAGTTAGTTTTACAAAGAATTCTTACTATATTTCCACTGCATTCACTTGGTTGGTTGGTTGTTTTTTAGAGTACTTTACTCTTCTTAGAGTACTAACTATTGTGAGGATTCTTAACTATTCACTCACCAAAGCAATCAAAACAAACAAGAACAAAACTCTAAGGCCAGTTAAAGTAGTCAATGATAAAAACATTTCCTTGAATGTACCTTTAAAAGAAAATCTAATTTTTCACTCAACCCCTTTTTTTCTTCCTTGCTTACAGAAAAGAGGTAGAAATGATAGTATGAATAAGAGGACTCTACATATAGACCACTGAGTTATTCAAATCTGATAAAACTACCATCACATACTGTTACTCTGATCAGCATTTTATAAACATTATTAATCAGAAAATTGAGGGTCAAGACCACTGTTCAAAGATAAGATTCATTTAGCTCATCATTCCTGAATATTAAGCCTAAAAAGAATAAGAGTAAAATAGTTAAATGCAAAGTAAATATCCTGCCAGAGAAGATGAAAATGTCCTAAATATATTCACAGAGGAGTACTGTGAAAGTGATCAAATATGACAGTACACCAATTCAGCATTATATTGAAAATATTGAAATGTATCAAATTCCCAAAGAAAACAAATTCAGATCTTTTGTGTGTAAATAAAAACAATTAAAAGTTTCCCTTAAGAAATATTTTATACATATTTAAGTAGCAATTACAGAACAATGAACTACAACTGAATGAGTGAAATCACAAACCTGAAATTGTGGAATTGTCATTTCAAAGGACTTGTTCTTTACTTGGCCTGAATGATCTGCCACTTTCAGCAACACTGCAACGTAAGGATACTTAAGAGATCTGCAACTGTCCGAGCTCACGGCCATACCCAGCTTCCACTGAAAATCTACAAGCTGTAATGAAACATTACAGAACAATACATTGGTAATAACATTGCCATGAATGCAGTTACTTATTCAATTTTACTGCTCTCACATTGAACTTTTAGTTTCAATGCCAGTCACAGTAAAAGAAAATATCTTCATTTTAATATTGCTAGGAGAACAATAATCACATAAAAATGGAGAGAGGCAATACGGGATGTAAACAGAGTTGGAAAACAACACTGTCTTAATTACAATAGTAAAACACACACACACACACCCATCTTCACCAGATGTATAATGGAAGTAGAAGGAAGATGTGGTACAACTGCTGGTTTTCCCTTCAATTTGCTCCTGCATTTAAGGGGACTACAAATGCTTTGTGGCCTCTCTCACCTCACTCTCCTGTCCCCATTCCACAACCTGAAATCCTAAAATGGAAGATGAGTTACATACCATCTTCATATGTGACTGGGACCCACATGGGAATCATTCCATTTTCCTCTCTCACCATGTTCCTCCACCTGCAGCCTTACACGAGCAAAAGCACTGGGTGATAAGGTGGTTTTAGATTTCATCCCTGTTGATGATGAACACCTGTCAGGTGATGTGCTAGGTAGTTTACATGTATTAAATGCCTCAGGGAATCATCATAACATTATAGGCTATTATTTCCATTTTGCAGATGACAAAACTGAATTTCAGAGAGCTTAGATAAAGTGTGCAAGGTCACACATTTCTGTGATCAGAACTGAAACCAAAGTCCATTTGGCTCCAAGGATTATATGCTTATTGACTACTGGCTGCCTTAATACTTTTAATCGAATTTCTGTCAATGATTGCTCAGTGTTCTGGGGCATAAAACAGGATTGGATAAATGCAGCTCTTAACACTGACTAAAACATAAGACGGTGAGTGGAGGAATTCTGTTTCTTGTTTTCAAAGATTAAACAAGTAAATGGTACACAGCAGGCACTCACAAAAAATACTTGTTGATTGATACTTTTTGCTATCAAATTAATAATGCTGATAGGGCAAAAAGCTTTGCTTATTAATAAACCTCTTTTTATAAAACTTGGGATCTTTTATAAACAAGACTCATCTATATACTGCCTACAGGAGACAAGCTCTCAAAGTAAGAAGGCAAATAGACTAAAAATGAAGGGATGGAAAAAGATATTCCATGTAAATGGAAACCAAAGAAAGCTGGGGTAACTACACTTATTGTCAGACAAAATAGACTTTAAAACGACCACTGTAATAAGAAACAAAAAAGCAAGTTACATAATGAAAAAGGGTTCAATCCAACAAGAAGATACAACCTGTAAATATTTATGCACCCAACATAGGAGCACCTAAATAGACAAAGCAAATATTAACAGACCCAGAGGAAGAAAGAGACAGCAGTACAATGATACTAGAAGACTTTAATACCCCTCTTACATCAATGGATAGAACACCCAGACATAAAATCAATAAGGAAACATCAGCCTCAAACATGTTAGAACAGATGGGACTTAACAGATATTTACAGAACATTCCATCCAAAAGCAACACAATACACATCTTACCAAATGCTCATGGAACATTTACTAAGACATATCATTTGTTAGGACAAAGAAGTTAAGAGGACTGAAATCCTATTAAGCATCTTTTCTGACCACAGTAGTATGAAACTAGACATTCATTACAAGGGAAAAAACCTAGAAAATTCACAAATATGTGGAGACAGAACAACATGCTACTGAATAATCAATGGGTCAAAGAAGAAATCAAAAGAAAAATTTAAAAAATACCTTGAGACAAAGAAAAAGGAAAATGTAATATGCCAAAATTTATGGGATCGCAAAAGCAGTTCTCAGATGGAAGTTCACAGCAATAAATGCTTACCTCAAGAAACAAGAAAGGTCTCAACAAGCTAACTTTACACCTTAAGAAAATAGAGGGGCGCCTGGGTGGCTCAGTCAGTCAAGCATCTGACTCTTGATTTCGGCTCAGGTCATGATCCCAAGACCCTAGGATCTAGAGCGGCCTGGGGCTCCCTGCACAGCAGGGAGTCTGCTTCTCCCCCTCCCACCTCTCCCTCTGCCCCTCTCCCCATTCATGCTCTCTCCCTCTCTCTCTAATAAATAAAGTCTTTTAAAAAATTGGAGACACAAATAAATGGAAAGATATCCTGTGTTCATGGATTGGAAGAATTAATGTTATTAAAATATTATCCATACTACTCAGAGCAATCTACAAATTCAATGCAATCCCTATCAAAATTCCAAAGATATTTTTCACAGAAATAGAAAAAAATCCTAAAATAAGTATGAAACCACAGAAGACCCCAAATGGCCAAAGGAAATTCTGAGAAAGAACAAAGCTGGAGACATCATGCTCTCTGGTTTCAAACTATATTACAAAGCTGTAATAATTTTAAAAGTATAGCACTGGCATGAAAAGAGACACATAGATTAATGGAACATAATAGAGTCCAAAAATAAACCCATGCATATGTCGTCAATTAATATATGACAAGGGAGGCAAGAATATACAGTGGTGAAAGGACAGTATCTTCAATAAATAGTATTGGAAAAACTGAACAGCCACATGCAAAAGAAGGAAACTTGACCACTATATTATACCATACACAAAAATTTCCTCAAAATGGATTAACAACTTGAAAGTAAGACCTGAAACCATAAAACTCCAAGAAGAAAATGTAGGCAGTTAAGTTCCTTGACACAGAAATCTTGGTGATGATTTTTTGAATCTGACACCAAAAGCAAAAGCAACAAGCGCAAAAGTAAACAAGTGGGACTACATTAAACTGAAAGCTTCTGCACAGCAAAGTAGCTATATTCATTACAGCCCTAAACTGAAACCACCCAAATGTTCATCAGTCGTAAGATAGATAAATATGTACAGCAATGAACTTCAGCTACACTTAACACCAAAACGTTCAAAGAAACCAGTCAAAAGTTATGTGATTCCATTCACTTAAACTTGAGAAACAGGAAATACAATATTGTTTAAGGCTGCATACACAGGTGGAAGAACTATATATAGAGGCAAGAATGTGATTATCACAAAAGGATCATTACCTCTAGGAAGGAGAGAAGGGAGAGGTTTGATTGGGGAAGGGCATGTGGTGGGCTTCTGGGGCACCAGTAATACTCCATTTCTTGAATTTGATTGTGATTACAAATGTGTTCACTTTAAAATTATTCATTAAGCTGTCCATGGTAATGTACTTTTTTTGCATATGTTATCTTGTAAGTATCAGGTGGGGGGAGTGAATATAAATCAGTGAATACAAACCGTATTTTTTTTTTTTTTTTTTAAGATTTCATTTATTTATTTGACAGAGACACAGCGAGAGAGGGAACACAAGCCGGGGGAGTGGGAGAGGGAGAAGCAGGCTTCCCGCGGAGCAGGGAGCCCGATGTGGGGCTCGATCCCAGGACCCTGGGATCATGACCTGAGCCGAAGGCAGACGCTTAACGACTGGGCCACCCCGGCGCCCTTACAAACCATATTTCTGGTTGAAAGGAAAAACTTATCGTAGGCTACAGTAATCAAAGGAATGCTTTACTGAGAGCATAAGCTTTCAGCTCAGTCTTGAAGACTAAACAGAACTGAAATTAAGAAGAAAATGTGTCTTCTTTATATATTCCAGAAATATACACCTAACAAAGAATAAGTGCTTAATAAATATTAAGCTGAACCAACTAGAGATGGAGAGAGTCAATATCTGGTGTAAGAGAGCATTTAACTGCGTTAAAGTGGACAGCTCCTGTAAGGAAGTATGGAAGATAAAGCTGAAAAAAGAGATGAAGAAGCCAATAATTCTTTTCAAATTGTGAGTTTTCAGAGGTTTTCAAAGTATTCCCATATACTTTATCTTATGGAAAATATGTTAAGTCATTTAAACTTTTCCTGTATGCAATGGGAACTCACTGAATTTTTTTCAGTAAAGGTAAGGATATGAAAGTACTGATTAAAAAATATTCATCTGGTGGCAGCAGAATACAATAATCCAGGTATGAGGTTTTAAGTGTCCGAACTAAGGTGGTAACTAGTAGGATTAAGCTGATCCTTAAAGAATGAATCAGCAAGCCCTGATGTTTTTCTTCACAATTATGGGAGATCAAAGACAACTATGAAAATCTGAGTACAGATGACAGGGAGAATGTTGATATCATGTTACCAATCAGACTTTATATATTTTAAGTCCAAAGGTATTATCAAGTGGGGATAGAGGGTATTTAAATAGGAATGTTCAATAAGTGGCTAAAAATCCAATAACAGAATCTAAGGGAGTTCATGATTAGAGATATAGTTTTTATATCAGATCAATGGTGATATCCAAAAATTTAATTCAGAGCACTTCTTAAACTTATTCAGCTTGCACAATTTCTTGATGCTTTACTGTCTACAAGAAAATGGTAGAGAAAACCATTACTTACTGGATTCTGATTCTGAAATAAAACTGGATTATTTAGAACATTTCAAACAGAAAATCAATTAAGGAACACAATGTTGGAATCCACTGACAAATTACAATGGTGAAACTGTCCGGTGAGGAAACAGGGAGAGCTACCATCCAGACACTCACTGTGCAAAATGAGTACTCATGAGTAAAAGAAAGCTGGGATTCAGTTTATGATTCTAAAACTGAACATTTAAATGAAAATTAAAAGCAAATTTTCTAATAAATGTGGTTTAGCCTTAAATAGAAATTAATTAACTGCATTGGAGATTTTAACAAGAAAAGCGCCTGGGTGGCTCAGTTTGTTGAGCGACTGCCTTTGGCTCGGGTCGTGATCCTGGAGTCCTGGGATCGAGTTCCGCATCGGGCTCCCTGCTCAGCGGGGAGTCTGCTCCTCCCTCTGACCCTCTTTCCCTCTTGTGCTTTCTATCTCTCATTCTCGCTCTCTCAAATAAATAAAAATCTTTAAAAAAAAAAACAAAAGAATAAAAGAAAAATCAGAACAGAGCACACTTATCATTATGGAGGATATTAAGAATGAAATAATAGGGGC